AGGAGGAGGAGGAGGAGGCGGAGGAGGAGGAGGAGGAGGACACTGCAGGCCAGGATGCTGCCAAACAGGAGCCTGTTCAAGAACAAGACCTGCAGGCACAGGTGTGTGTCCAACACAGATCCACTGTGGAGAGAACCTGTGTTTCTGCCAGAAGCACTGCTGCCTTAAAATTTCAAGCACTGGCTGTGCCAGATGACCACATTTTGGAATTACTGCATGCAGGCATTTGCATTGTTTTTTTAGACTGTGAAATGCAGTTAAAACAACAGCCCTCCAAACTAAAACACATTTAGTTTTTTAGTGTTCTGATGTCATTTGCACCTACATATTTCCCTGATGCATGAAATCCAGATTTCCCTTCACCTGTAAAGTATTTCTTGTAGGTTTCTTCCCCTAACTGCTGGCTTTATATCCGTCAAGAACAACATTTATTATTTAGCAACATTTTTTGTGATTTATTGTTCTGAAGTAGACTTTGGCTTCTCCTGGATTCCCAAATGAATCAAAATTTGTTTTCTTATCGTCTGTGGAAAGCAATTCAAGTCGATGCTCATCAGAATATTCTAAATCCATGATCGTACCACCACCGTGTTTTATTGATGGTTCTAATGTTGTCAGAACCAGGAAGTACATTCTTTCTAAAACATTAATGATTCTTGCTTGTCTGTTTAATAACCCTTCTTCCAAATCTGCCCCAACATATAACAAAATGTTCTTTTGTGCATACAGACTTGTAATCAATTATTTTAAAATTAGATTTTCCTTGTAGACTCATTAACTTTTATCATTGACTTTTATCTGTAGCGATTTTTGTTGACGCTTTCTGGTGAGGATAAACGGCGGTCTTGAATTTTCTGAGCTGATTTGCTGTGTGTTTATGAAGATGGTTTTCTCTGGCTGATGAGCATCAACATCTCTTAAACCCTCTTACAAGCTCGTTTAGTTGAGTCTTGATGATGTGATCGATTGCCGTTCTGTAGATAAATCAGGGCAGCCACTCGCATCTAAAGGTCATCCCATTGATCGGGCTCGCTCATTTATTCTAATTGCACCTTTGACTTAATCATCAAGACGAATGCTTACACCTCCTCATCACATATGGGTTCCTGTAATGCGCAACAGCACCAAGGTTCAATAATTAAAAATGATTGCATTACCATGGAATATGCTTTAGTTAATACCCTCATGTTTCTTACATCAAGGTTTCTGTTTGCATCCATCAATGTTAAACTGGCACATTATCAGCAAGAAGTGGTTGAAGAGTGAAGCTCAGATGGGAAAGAAGGGAAAGAAAACATAGAAATAAAATGAAAACTTTGCTTCTTCAGAAGTTTGAGAGAGTATTTTTGAAAAGTGGTGGGTAATAAAAAGAAAGGGAAGCAAATAATTGACATAAGTGGAATCGGTAAATTTTTTATAAACATTATGTGTTTTTGTGAGATGGAAATCTCAGAGAAACAAACAAAAGTCTTCAGAGCGTAACTCCAGGCCTCTGCAACGTGGAGCTTTGTAAACATGTTTCTTATAAGTCGTAATAAATTACTTTGCTTTAGTGCCGTTCTGTTTTATTGCTGAACATAAAGTTTGCACCATCGTAACTTTGTTGATGCATGAGTTGCTTATTAAAAGGATTCCAATAAGAAAATAGTTTGTAAATCAGGGATGGTTAAACATCATATTTATAGGACATGATGCTTATGGACGGTGGACATGGTGGACTCTCATATTTCACTGGAGAATTTTACTAGAAACTAATATTTTTTCGCTAGCATCTATAAAAAACATTTTCTTCATTTGCTTACCTAATTGTTTTTCCAAAAAGTCCTGGACATATCATGCAGTAACAAACAATGCATTGTACCAAGTGTCCTCATTAAAAACATCAATACACATCAAATATGTTTCAATGTTCCAGTTAAATGGGTCAAAAGCAACTTTAAACAGATAAATTTTTAGCATTGATTTAAAGGAACTCTGTGTTTCAGCTGCTTAGCAGTTTTCTGGAAGTTTGTTCCCCTCGGTGCTGCTGGGGTTTATGGGGATACAGGAACCAATCAGTATCAGTTAAATCTCCTTCAGGAGTCGATTCCAGCTTTAGGTCAAACATGCTGAGAGCATACTTGCAGACATAAACTATTTGACTGTTATCCTTTGCTCAGACATGAATTCAGAAGGGACAAATGAACCAACTGACACAAAACTGCATTAGCAAAAAATTCAAAGAGCTAGTGACTGTGTCATTCAGTAAATTTGTTTTATATTGCTCTATTCAGTCTTATTATAAACCACCAAAAATATGAATCATTCCCAGCACATTATTTTGCATAAAATGAAACGTATACAATGATGGATATGAATGAACTGCTTGGACATTTTAGCATCACTTTAAGTTTAATCCTTTCCACCTTATTCTAGAAAATGGCAAACTGAAAACTAATATCCTTACCATTTTCACAAAGGTGTCAAAATTACTTCTAAGATCTCATAAATTCTCTATAAATCCAGGCTACTCTAATTGATAATGTCCATCTGCAGCTGCTTTTGCTGCAAAATATAACAGTTGCAGCAAATGGCCCTTGAACTTTATCTAAGGTGAACAGATCAGGATGTCACATAGATCAGGATGAAAAATCTTCAGCAGTGCCTGGAGAATTCCTCACGCTCTCGCAAAGTGGCCAGGCAGACGTGGCCGACAGCCAGACCATATGTCTCCCGTGGACCCTCTTCTCATCTCTGTATTTAAACCTCCAACATCTGCCTTCCTCATCTCTCTACTCAAGATGCTTTGAAGCTGTGCTGCTTCCTTGTGCATAAACAGTTAAGATCTTATTCTTTGTTTGTTTGCATACAATACACAAATTTATATACATAAGAAGGAGAAGATAATCCACTTTGCAGTGAACTTTGAGATATTTCTTTCTCAAACATGTCTTCCATTGTTCTCTTTCATTTGACATAATTTCCTGCAGGAAGCAAAATACATAAGTAAATAAGCAAAAAGTGTATATTATGAGGAACCTTTAGTGCCCTGAATGCACAACTCTTGATATATGTCCAAAGTTCTGTGGGAAACTTCTTGATAGAGTTTTGGGTAACACTTTATTTGAAGGGGGGTGAATAAGACTGACATGACACTTTTATTAACATGACATAACACATGTCATGAACATGAAAAAGCCTTCATGAACCAAGAAATCATCACTGTTTAAACTTTACCTTTAATAACATAAAGTTACCTAATTTTTAAAGTGCAATCAGTAATACTTTTATAACAAATTTATATCAGTAATGATTTCTTGGTTAATGTCAAGTTGTCGTAACAAAGACATTTTGAATAATGTCAACTTTGTATTAAAAGTGTCATTATTTACCGAATGACGGTTTATGACAACAGTCATAAATATTCATGAAGGCTTATTCATGTTCATGACAGGTGTTGTGTCATGTTTATGACAGTGTCATTACAGTCTTATTCACCCCCCTTCAAATAAAGTGTTACCGAGATTTGTCTTGTTTGACTTTCTGATATTTTTCAACTTGTGAAGCTAAATAAGTTTTCTACGCTGCACTTCGGTCTAGTTTCTAGTGCAGATATGTTGGTGTACTTGAAATAATAATATACAAACTTATATTTCCTGCTGAAAAGTTACTTGTAAGGTAGTTCTGTCTTATTTCATGTGTACTAATATATTTCCACTAGAAACTAAATCGAAAATACTTTAAAAGATTTTATTTATTTTTTTTTTGCAGTGTGCCGTTATCTTACGAAAAAGCTAAATGACTTTAGAACACAACATCTTGCCTCAATAATCCAATACCTTTTTTCCTGTGTTGTGAACACAGCTTGATGCCATGATGACGGTGTTGAGCACATCTGATGAGGTTGAGCAGCTGGTTCTGAGGAACACCGAACTGACAGATGACCTTTTGTTCAGTCTCGCGGGGGTTCTGAAGAACAGTCCGTCTGAAGTCACGTTGCTCAATCTCAACCTGAACCTCATCGGCCCCTACGGCGCTCACATCCTGCTGGACGTCCTGAGAGTAAAGCCGCAGGTCCAACGCTTACAGTAAGTCCATGGTTCCACCCACTTGTATTCTATCAGATTAAAATCTGGCGAAGAAATGAATTATCTAAAAATCACAACATGTCATGCAGTCATGAGATTATTTAAAATGGCTTACCCTGACAAAAGAAGACGGTTATATAAATTAAAGAGACAGGGCAAGCATTTCTACTGGCTGACTTTTTTTTTTTTTATATGAACAGAGATTCCCCAGCTCACCTCTATAAACTCACCTCTATAACTTTCTGAGTTATGTCCTTTTTCCACAATAAACAGTCTTGCTACAGCTTTATGTGAATTTATACTGACTCAACAAAAAGTGCTTTACATTTACATTGAACCACTCTTTAGCAATGCATACTTTGCTTCCCTGTGCCCAGATATCTCTGTTTTTTTCTAATGTTACATCTTTAAAGAAGAAATGGAAAAAATCTTGATTTCGGACCGGAGTGAGCCATCCTCAAGTTGTCAGCTCTCAGTGTCTTTGTGACACTGATGGCAACAACGTGACTAACCGTCTTATTTAAACTTGGATATGAGCTAATTTGTTGACACAACTAGTCCCTGGAGTTTTTCATTCTTTTCACATTTACATGACTCAGATGCCGGAGAGGGCAGACTTAGCAGTCACAAAACATTTTTTATGAAAACTGTCAGGTCTAAAACTGAGTTAAAAGCAAAACGTCCGTGCTCAAAGCAAATGTTTCGACATATAACCTAAAAATAATTATCAAAACTACTTTTGATTTAAAAAAAAAATTAAAGTAAAGCAAAAAAGAAATTAACTACTCAAATATTTGAAGTTTACTGCAATTGTATTATTATTTGTAACAAAATTTGGAAATAAACATAGGAACATACAGTTTTCTGCATCTACTCCTACATTGCTTCTTGTTTATTTTTGCAGCTTGTTTGGGAACAAACTGCGTGACCACGGAGTGCTGACCCTCTTGAGTGGCGTAGCGGAGCTGCAGGATCAAACTGCAGCAGCTGCCGCAGCCGTCTACCAGACACTGCTTTTCCCATTAGAGCAAAATGCGCTGCTGCAGCTCCCCACCGGGTGGAGCTCTTTTAGGGCTTTTACGCTTGTGGAACTGGATATTGGTGGAAATGGCCTCGGCAGCGACGGGGTCAAGGTTTTAGCATCGTACATGAGATCCCACTCACAGCTGCAGTACTTGGGGCTGGCACAAACGCGTAGCGCGGATCTGTCTGCGTGGAAGGAACTTTTCGACAGCCTGAAAGGCAACAACTCTCTGACTCGGATCATCTTAGATGAGAACAATCTGGGGGACCCCGGAGTCAGGCTGCTGGCAGACATGTTGAAAGAGAACACGAGTCTGCGGCAGGTGGACCTCGACAGGAACGGCATCAGCGATGTGGGAGGAAATGACATCATGGGGGCGCTGCTCTGCAGAACTCAGGTATCCCTGACACATCTTAGCCTTGATGAGAACGCCATGAGTGAAGGATTGATGAGCAGGATACAGGAGCAGATAAAATGCAAATAAAACCTGCAAGAGCGACTGAGTGAGGTTGGAAAACACCAAAAAGTTGTGCAGATTAAACAGCCTTGATCCCTGGTGTTCACTGTTTGATGACAGATGAACAAGCTGACTCATTTGATTTGTTTTATCATCAAACACATACACTCACACAAATGTCTGTTCCTTCCTTTAAGTGGGTGGCCTTCCGAAGAAACGCTGCCTCTCGGTTTAGTGCAGGCAGGTAGTGTAGGAGGTCTGTTTGCTTTTGAGCCGCGCTGCGGTGTGGAGGCATTTTCAAAGACGTTTCAATGAACTGAACCTTTCTTCTGTGCAGCGAGGTTACATCTGCACCTTCACCTTCCCAGCAGCATGCCCCCTTGCGACTCAACACCCACCTCTTCTAAAACCGACTTCATCGCGGGGCTCACCGCTCCCTCTGTCGTTTTTTATTGAATAATTTGCTACCTCTTCACCAAAAAGAAACCGCTATGAATCATTCCACCCACAATATTTACGAGTGGATGACTTACCCGCAGCATTTCCACCTCAGAACTTTACAGCAGTGGTCAACACATGCCGATCTTCACTCCTCCATATCAGAAGATTGGTACAGACGGCAAAGCCGTGGCACATCACCAACCCTCATTTACTTCTTCTTGTCTTTTCACGTGCTAGACAGAGCTTCTATTCAGAGGGCGACGGAGAAAAAAAAAAGACAAAACTGGGGAGAATTTATGTGAATCTCAAGGCCATCATCTCATTGTTCCATCATCACAGACATTCTGAGAATAACTGTACCTGTGATCAAAGCTTGTCAGGGTGGTAATTATCTCGTCCTCTCAGGGCTGCCGTCGGTGAATCTGCCGAAACCAACCCGTCCATATTTCATCTGCAGTCTTAGCAAATTCCTTTCTGTGGAGCCCTGATAAAGATGCCTCCAGAAGGATGACAGATAAATGAGACTGACGTTTCTGAAGATCGCATCCACGCTTTGCTGTTTTAGACGGAGCTTCTGTTTGGGATGTCACAAGGTGCCATGAAAAAGTTTCTGCCTCCTTAACGGTTTGTTTTTTCAGCTTTTTAAAACCACTTAAATGTTTCAGATCAAACTGATTTTACAGTCTGACCAAAATGACCAGAGTAACAATAAAATGGACAAATCAACAATTCCTCTACTAGGAGGCTTCAGGTAGCTTGGTTTAGACCAATACTCTGTTCTTCACAGTCGTCATTTGAAAACTGCATGTTGTATTTCACCAAATACTTATTCAAGACGCTGTACATTTCTTAGCCTAGGAAATTTGTCACAACACAGATTTTTTTTTCCTAATTTTTTACTATTTTAAGTCCTCTGAACCCACATTTGAATTAAAGAAAGAGGTACACCATTAAGCCTGGATAAGCACAGGCTGGTAAACAGGACCTGCCCTGTAATTCAAAGACTCTTTTGGTTGGGGCGTTGTGCGTCTCTGTTACAACTGAACCTCACATCACTGATCCCATTGTCTGTCTCCTAATGTACTTGAAAGAAATCCTGCAGCATCACAAGCTTCTTTCAGTTACTTTTCAAAGAACAAGACCTTCAACCACAAAGACTCAATCTGGAAGGAATTTTCTGTGCGCTGTTCAGCCACCTGAGGTTGTTCAGTCTGTCCGTTTATTGTGGAACAATAAAGTTAAATGCACAGTTCATTGGTTTTCTGCAATTTCCGTGCTACTAGTGAATAAATGCCTTAAAACTTTGAAAAGAGAATGGATTATTTATCCTGTTACATGGTAAATCCCTTGTTTGTGCAAACACCCTGAGCCAATAAAGCTGTTTCTAATTCTTCTGAGCAGGCTGCAGCTGATACACAGGACTTCATTTTCAGGTAACTGATACTTCGCTAGAAGCAAGCTGCAAAATAAAAAAAAGGTCTTGGAAATTGAGTTTCTTGACTCTGACTGAAGGCAAAAATAAAACAAATAAAGTGAACAATGGTTCACTGTCCAGACTTTGTTTAGGTTTTCAGGGCAGGGTGATGTAATTTATTCTCACTCAACTCAAAGGTCAGTGTCTGTTTGCTGAACCAGTTCTTTTTTTCATGTCCTTACAAACTCAGTTTCTGGATGAATAATGGTGCACTTCAACATCTTTAGTTAGTTTGCAGAAATCCTTTTGGCGTGAGGAAGATCATTCTTGACAGAAGTTTAATCTGCAGATGGAGGTAACTTCAAAATGGGGTCAACAGACATTGGATTCCACAACCATGTTCATGACAACATCTTATGTTATACAGTAAGAAATACTGTTTGATAGTTGTTTACATAGTGGCTGCAACTCTAAATTTCCCCTGATTTTCCCTTTAGTCATTTTGAACTAAGTTGCTTGACCACTGTCTGGAAACCATTGCGTTTCGGTCAGGATAAGTTCATACTTTAACACTTTTTCAAACAGGAAAGTTTTCCTGACAGCAGCTTTTAAATTACACCCTTTCCAAATTGAAGACTAAAGTTCTTCATAACACAAACCTCGTTCTGTGATAATTTAGTTCAGAAGGGTGGGCAAGTTGGTGTATGTTTGTGAATGATAAACAAAGCATCCAACTTTTCATGTGGTGTACTTTCATTTACAGAAAACAAAGAATAGAGGGGTAACTGCAAGGTCGTCAAACCCTTTGTGTCCTACAAGTTGGCTCTGGATTTGTTTTATCCGCTCAATCCAAAGAGGTTTTAATTCGGCATCTTTTTTCCCCCCCCAACTACCCCTGAGACACGCTACCAGCCCCAAACTCTTGCCAGGCTTGGTTGCATGCTAATTAGGCAGACTCAGTTCAGATTAAGACAATAATGAACAAATTAAAGTGGAGAACATCTGAGCTGTTGTGGTAAACACGGAGAGGAGGGCAGGAAGTTCATGTCGTCTTGTATTTGAAGCCTGCAATGCAGCTGCAGGTGAAACAGCATGACAGAGGCTGAATGTGGGAGTCTCCTTTTCCACTCAAAATTAGGATCATGTGTTCAGGCTTAAGTAAAATTTGTTTTCATTAAAGTTGGGGCAATGTGCTACTACACAAAACCATCAGGGAGGAAGTCATTTAACTTTTCCATTTCCTTAACTCCTAATGTTAAACTTTTCTCTGTTGTTGTAAACTGGCACGTTCTCTGCGTTGTAGAACAAAACATTCGGATGTTGTTGAAGTGAAAGTTTCGCTGTCTACTCCTCAAACAAAGGATCCCGCTGCCGTTTGACATTCGGCAGAGAGAGCTGGTTTTTCAAGATGGATTATTCAGCAGCAGTTTGATCCTCTGCTCAAATGTCACCACAACAATACGTCCAACTTGGCGGCCGCGCTCGTCTTTCTGCAGCTCTGCAGGCTATGTGGCCTTCAGACAGATAAAGACGGTTTTGTCCTCGCACATTGTTTTCCATTCTGTTGATGAAGTAAAATCCTTGTACAGTGACATACAGTTTTCTGAATAAAATTTAGAGATCACAACACAAAAAATATCTAAGTTAACAGGGTCATGTAGGATACAGAAAAAAGTAAATTACCATAGATATAACAAAAATATTTAACTTGGTCCGCAAATGAAGTGGACTTATTTACGTAAATATGTTTAGTGACATTAAATGGTGGCTCCTAGAAGAACATGCCTTACATTCAAGATGCAAAATAAGTACACAAACCATAAATAGACTTTTAAATGACCATAGCCTGCAACTCATTCTCTCCTATGGACATATCACCTTAAATCTGAATTCAGGTCCTGCTGATTGAAAACGAGCCCAGGGGTCTTCAAACTCCAGTAATTATCAGTCGTTCTTGCATTAATTTGGTGTGAAATGTTTTTTAGATGAGATGTCTGTGACGGTGAAATACAAATACCCATATGTTGCAACCCTAATATAATATAAGAGTCATAAACATGGTGAAATGATATGTGCTGCAGCTGGGTCAACTAAACAAATTGACAGGAACAGGAATTTATCACTTCTTAAGAGTTCAGTATCCCTATTTAATCTCTGATTGATTCAATAAAACTTTAAGAACCGTTGTTTTTGTGTACTTTGCGGGAAGAGAGAGCAGCAACCTTTGCTAAAAAGCAGTTTGTTTCCTCTTTTAACTCAGGTGTATTGATTTTTTTTTCCATCACTTGGGGTTGCACAATATAACTTACATCACCATATTAAGGTGAAAATTGCTCTTGTGTTAGCCAAAATTTGTCTTTTTACACATTTACCCAAACGCAGAGCAGCTTTATAATTTATTGCAGTTGGACTTTGCTCCCTTGCTGTCCTCAAAATGTTCCACTCTGGTAATGGCCAGCCCTTATATTCATAAATCTGCAGCTTGTATAGCCTGTAAGGCAACTTGTTTCACTCAAATATGCTGCCAGCAGTGGTGACAGTGTTGGTGGCAGCAGTGAAACTGAATCAAATTTGCGATGCTGTGTGGCAAAAAGCCCAAACATGACAACAAACAAACTGTTTATTTGAAGGAAGACAATAAAACGTTAGCTCAAAAACTAATTACTCTCTCGTTTTCGAGTTGCTCCTGGTCATTACTTTTATTATCCATCGATCTTCCAAATATTTCAACCTGGGGGTTGGTGTGGATCACACTTCTGCTGCTGATGTACTTTCCTCACACCTTCACCTTCATACCTGCCTTTAGGGAAACTCCTTCAGTCATCTAAATGTCCCTTCCAGCTCCTCAGTTCTTCCCTGACCTGCTTCACCTCTATATCCCTTCTAAAATCTTTGACCTCTTGATGCTGCTGGCAGATGCCTTTTCCTTTGTCCAGTTTTCTCTCAGGGGAAAAATAAATTTCAAAGTCCAGTCTTTAACCCTAATAAACCCTCGCCCTCATTTTGACCTTAAAGGGCAACACAACTCAATTCTAAGCTCATCTTTTCATTTGTGTTTCTTCCTCCAGTTTTATTTGCACTGTGGGAGCCATTTTGTTGATTCACGAAAGAACGGGGTTTTAATTTTTAGGTTTTTTTTTTGTTTTTTTTTTTAAAAAGCAACAATTCATCATGTTCATTCATATAGGGCCACTCAAAAGTAAACAAAAAAAATGCATTAATTTTAAAATATAAATATATTAGCTTTATAATTTGATAACAGATAATATTTTCTGCTTACGGCTTGACTTCTTGGGGCAAATTTCCTGTCCTAATGTATGGAATGAGTAAACGGAGCACCAGGGCATGATCTTATTGGATCCAGCTGTGCCTCCTCAGAGGTTGCCTGCACTCAAATTCCCAGGATACAAGAGTACAACAGCAGAGGTCTGTGTTTATCCGACCAGAGTTTCCATCACTGGAAAATGGCGGGGAAGGATGTGTGTGAAATGCAATTTTTTGGTACTTCTTGTAAAAATAGAACTAAGGAACTTCAAGTGCTTTCAATCTTACCAAGTACTTTGCTTTATCAGATTAACATAAATCTATATGTAATAACATGTCAATCATTCAGTGAATGAAATGGAATTATATGGATATTTTACACACCTGATTTTGACGCTGGATTGCAGGAAAACTCTTTCTGAACAGCTGGCAGGGAAGGAAAATAAGATTTATTGGTAAAATACTTGTTTAAAATATAACCCTCCATTGGTCAGCACTGCATTAGCTCTAAAAATGTTTTCTATTCTGGACCACCAGCATGGCTCTGTCTGCAAAAACACCTGTCTCTAGAAAATCATTACATGAAAACGTTTAGCTAAGTAATTTTAAGCAGTAGTCTGTATCTTTATGCATTTTGTTCAAACTGATAGGACTCAAGAGTTAAATGTTTGAAATGACTCTTACTAAATGATATTATTGAGAAATACCTGAGTAAAATGTAAGGAACCTTTATATTTACAGGAGAAATAAAAGGTCTTGGAGTTGAGCTCCTGGGGATTCTGAAAGAGTGACAACTGCACTGATGGTTTTGGTTGTTGACAGTAAAGCTTAAGCTGCAGGAACCCCTTAAAGGTTCCTAGTTCATGTCTTTCTGGATTTCCATCACAGCAACCTTGAAGTAAACCAAAGCCAGTCTCGGGTCCCAGTTTGATACACCAACCTCGTGAAACCTTACTCTCCAGATTGGAGATCTTCATCTCGGCTCCTCCGCGTGCTCTGAGGACATTGCCTTTCCTGTCTGTGAACTTAAATTTGTGGTAACAAAAGCTGACATCTGATGTTGCTCAGACAGGTAGATGGGAAGTGATCTTTCAAGGTGGTGGGCTCCCTTACTTCCTGACCACGAGACGATAAACTGGGCTCTGTGTGAGGAGGAGGGATCCAGTTGCAGGCAGCTGAATCGGGGCTCTGTTGGTTCTCTCCTGGACACTGTCACAGCTTGTTTGTTGAAGGTGGGTCAATGAGGACTTTCTTTGGCAGAGGAATTTCACTTACCAGAACCTGTGCACCGTATATCCCTCTATGTACAATGAGAATGGATGTGAATGCAGGTGTCAGGTGGAGGGAGTTTGTCAAAAGTAGGCATTTTGATAAAAGTTTAAAGCCGTTAAGTAATTGTTAAATTCTATTGTCAGGTAAGTGTTATGTTTGTTTTTGTGTAATTAGACCTAACAGAGACAGAGCAGGTGTGAAGTGCAAACAGGCTAATTGTTACCAGGTCAAATAATTTTCCAAGTATCTCACCACAACATGATTTATTTTGGTGAGTTGTCACCAAATGCGACGTGTTTAAAGCCAAAGAGCTAGTGGGTTTTAATAGAGCCATGAAAAGGTATTTATCCACATTTTTTGCTACACTTTTGCTACCCTGCAACCTTGGATGGCTGAGAGTAGTGTATAGGATGATCATCCCTCAACGTGTGAT